GTTCCCACCAATTTGTTTCTGGACACACAATAGTTGAAACATTAGATATAACACGTTCATTTCCACCTGTGTGAGGAGATGGGTCTGGTTGATCCCAAGCTGACAGCACGGTGTCCTGGCACTGCTCTTGGGTAGGCATTTCAGCAGCGAGTACATCACCAGCGGAAGACATGAAGGTTTGCTCTCTTGAATCCTTTTCTTTGATTTGGTCCAGTACTACCAGCTGGCTAAACTGGTTGGCATCTGGGTCTGGCTGCCTTGGTTGAATGTTCCAAAGCTGCTCGTGGGAGTTCCCCCCATCACTTTCCAGAAAGGGTGGCTGATGTTTATCACTGAAAGGATTGGTACAGTATGTTTCCATGGATTCATCATCACCCTGGATGGGTACTCCCCAGGGACCCATATTTTGGCATACTGAAGAATTCATCCCTAACACACCGCTTGAGTTAGACAGTTCCCCTTCAAATGTACTCTCAAGTGGCCTCCCTTCTTGCGGCGAGGTCCTCCACCAGTCAGTGCTCTCAGCTGAGAAGCCAAGCCTTTCCAACTTAGAATTATCTTCATTCTTTGGTTCAGTTTTGGGAGCTGTTTGCCAGACGACATCTCCCGTCTTCCCTGTTTCTGAAGATTTCTTCTCCTTCTCTGCTGCTGGAATCTGTATTTCAGTCTCCACCAGTGGTGAGAAATTCCAGGGATCGGGGCTGCTTTGTGGAATGTCACAAGACGGGTTTGACTTTTTCTCATTCTCTGCTTGTCCTGGACTGCCTATGTAGCCAGCAAATTCCTCAGACTTGGGATCAGCTGTGGCCAAGAACTTATTAGATTCGTTAAACGAATCACAAGCTCTGGATTCACTCTGAGCAACTTGGCAAATAGGTGAATGGATCTCGTTCTCCACCGACTCTTCAGCACCTATGCTATCATCATCAGGACCTGAGATCCTTGAAATGACCTTGGCATCCTCTGGCTGCACAGTGTCAGGCACGTCACATTCATTTTTCTCCTGTTGGCTAACCATTAGATTTCTTTCCTGATATGTACCTGAATATTCAGAATATTTGCCTGTTTCAGGGCTGGATAAAGAGGACAAGGAATCACCATCAACTGAGTCATTCCAAATCTCTAAAAATCTAGGAACCTTGTGATCAAAGCTCTTTTCAAACTCGTCCATTCTATTTTTTTCTAAGTCCTCCATTTCAATAACTACTTCTAGTTGGCCATCGGTGGTGATTAGTTCAGATTCTTGGTGATTCGGTTCACTCCGATCATCTCGATTCTCTTTTTCATGCTCAGTCCTGGGTCCATGGCCCCAGGAAGACAGTGCAAACGAAGAGTCATTGAGATCAGGACTTGATGCACTTGAAAAGGTGAACTCACTAGAAATGCTTTCTCTGTCACGATTTCCAAAAGAACTGGCTCCTGAAAGGCTGTTTTTAGTCCCCTTAACTTCGAGATTCTTAGTTATCTCAGAACTTGTGCAACTGGCCTGCATATCACCGTGTACAGGGTCGTTCCAAATGTCAGGGCTTCGGGGAAATTCATGAGGTGGCCCTTCGTTCACTCTCTCTGGCTCCAGAATGTTACATTCTTCAGTGTTCTCAAGATCCATTTCAGATAAAGACACATTTTTTGTTAAATTTATCTCACCTGAAATCTCAGTGGCTTCACTTGAATTTCTATGACTCACGAGGTGCTTTTCACAGCTATCTTTTGCCCGCAGGTTATTTGTGGACACCCCTGTTTGCACATCACAGGAGTATAGGTTGTAAGACCCCTTCTTATATTTTGAAGCTTTCTTTGGTTCCTCGGTTTGAGGACTGAAAGTGACTGAAAGAGAGTTCATTTTGTCTGATTCAACGGAGATTTCTTGATGTTCAGATGTAACTTGAGAAGAGAGTTCCTGGTCGCCTGGCCCTTTTCCAGAAATACCTGAGGCGTTATCGGTGACATGGCCTGTCACCTCCTCATCGAGGCGCCTGCTGTCAGTGGCTCCAGGGACATCCTCACTTTCACTTTGTCCATACCTATGACCTTTCCATGAGTCTGAGTGTGCAAAATGCCCTGGATTCTCAAGCCCAGTCCCCAAGGGTGCTGTATCACTGTGCAGGGGTCCTCTCCATGTGTCCTGGTTGTCGGGATGAGGTGTAAGTGCTCCCAACTCACTGGCTCCAGAGGCTTCTAGCCCATCTGGGCTGAGACTGTCCTTAACATTTGCTGAATGGCTGGGAGATTCAGGAGGCAATTTGCTTTGCTCAGATTCTGTAATACACAGTGGGCCTGGTAACATGAAAGATGACATGTCTTTAGCTCTCATGACAGAATCCCAAATACTGTTTGCGATCAGCTGCCCACTTTTCTCATTCAGTGTGTGATATTCGCTAGGAGCAGTGTCTTTGGGGTGCTCAGCAGAGGCAGGGGGTTCCCAGTCTGCCTGACTAGCTTCCTGATACTCCACGCCCCATGGTTCCAGCTGTCTCACTGAAAATCGGGTTTCTGGTTCAGTACTGTCAGCCATGTATTCTTCTGTGTGACCATTGCCAGGGATCGCCATGCCCCCACTGCAGTCATCCCAGTCCAAGTCATTATCCATATCCGAGATGGTCGCGGTGGACTGCGTGTCCTCCAGAATCACTCTGTTCCACAAGTCGAGGTTGTCGGAGGCCGCCTGCCGGGAGTTGGTGCTGCTGTGCAGCAGTGTGAGTTGCCGGTTTGTTTCATTGTACAGCTGCATCATGCTGGGGTCATCGTAACTGGACTGGCTGCTTCCCCCAGCGTCATCCTCCATGGCGACGTTTCTATCATCTGTGTGCTCTGTCTTGAGTAAATCTCTATCTGGGCTGCGAGTGGCATTCATCTCAGAACTACTATCTGCATGCGGAGAAGCCCACATGTCTAGGTTCCCAGGACCTGAACTAATTCGATTCCTAGGTGGCTGCTGCAGTGACTGAGGGGGAATTCCAGCCTCCTCGGGGGTACAGGTAGCATCTTTTGACTCAGAAGCTTCTTCTTTAGCAAATGTCTTGTTTTCAGTTCCCTTTTCATCCTCAGCAAATGTTGGTGATGTGTAGGAGTCCGAGGTGGAGTAGTTGGTATCTAAGGGGGAGGGCACTGAATCTTCTCTGTTGGATGCACTGTAATCGGAGCATTTATATGCTAAGAAGGAATCTTCCCAGGGAGCTAGGACGTCTGACCCTCCTTTCTTAACACTCTCCTCAAAAAGGTTCCAGGAATCTACCTTTTCATACACCTGCCCCCTAGTTTCAGGATCTGCTAAACCACTCTGATCTTCCTTCGATGGCTTAGAATTATTCCATGCATGGTCCAGATCAGAACTGGGATTTCCCGATACAAGGATATTATCCCTGGAGTTACCGTTCCTCTTGCCCCAGATTTCTGGAGCTGCTTCATTTTCTGCCTCACTGGGTGAATTGTCCAATAGATCTTCTGAAGGAAAAGAAAACCCACTTTTTGCCATGACCCACTCATTTGGGTCCCTCACAGAAGGTGTCTCAGCACTTGTGGGGTGCAGATTCCAGGTATTGTTTAAAGCTTCAACATTATCTTCTTTACCAAGTGCCCTCCAGGCAGGGAATGATGCTGTGGCCGCTGGTTCTCTGTTCTCTGTAGGATTTCCCCATGGCTCAGGCATCGCTGTGGGAGAGCGGCCAGAATGCCATAAGGCAGCGAAGTCTTCTATCAGGTGGTTCGTTTTCTGAGGAGAATCATCTGGCAAATGTGATTTCTCCAGGGGCAGGTTCTGAAACTGCATGCTTTCCTCATTTTGGTCTTGAATATCACTGCTACCCAGTTCAGACTGACCAAATTCACACTTCCAGGGACCTGACTCTGGGAATTCGAGATTTTTTGGTTGAAATACAGAATCTGAGGCTCTTCTATCAACTGAGCTTGGCTTACGATCTTTCCATGACTCAGGGCTGTGGAAGACAGATTCCTGCTCACTGGAACTCCATGCATCTGCCATATTTTTAATGTCAATTTCCAAACCACCCCACCAACTGCTGCACCGAGCACGGGTTGGAGGTGGCTCTGTGTGATCTGTGTTGATTGCTTTTTGGGTCATATCTTCTGAATAGAGAGGGTCTGGTTCTTCAGGGGATGGTGAGTTTTCAACAAAACTATTCATAGGTGTTGGTGGGATCCTCTTTCCAATATTTTCTAGCCTTTCTGGTGAAGGAGACTCATCTCCCATAAAACCTGTCAGGCTCAAATTTCTTTCCGAGTTATCTCTAGGACTTTCTTTTCTTTGGACAAACTCTCCATCAAATTCCACAAGGGTATCTTTGCCAGCCTCTGACAAAAGTGAACTGGATGAATAATTAGACATGTTGATCCCTATCCCATCAAGTCCTTTAGGCCCAGCGGGAAGCTGTCCTTCTGACGAATCACTATTGGGGAAGAAGTCATCTGCTGGGGAGCAGTCTGCAGAATGGGAAGATGGTTGGGACTGCCCAGAAGCCATGGGTGCTGGGTCAAAGTTGAAGAGGTCAAAGCGTTCACCATGTTCTCCGGACCGTGCATGCTCCTCTGCCACTGCCCCCTCGGGGATGGGACTATATGAGTCCAGCCCTGGGAGGAGGCTGTGGTGAGGCCCTGCACCTTCTCCCACTGGACTGTCGTCACTGAGGAAGACTGAGCTCTCCTTGGATGAACGGCTGCTCCTGATAGTGGCCAACCCACTGTCTGGGCTAACGAGGTCTATGTTGGCATCCACCTGGGCCTGGTTGGAATCATTGGGATCTGGAGGGTTCTCTATGAAATTCACAGAGCTGGGCTGTGGCTCTATGTCAGAACCATACAACTCCATAATCCCGGAAGACCCCTGGGAGAGGGGGGCGCTGCCTGCCACAGCTTCTGTTGACGACGTCCGGCTGTTGGAGACCATCTCTGGACACCTCCTGCTGAGGACTTCCTTGACAAGAAGAACCACCTGTTCACAAGTCACTGACGGGTCCTCCTGCTGGTACACCAGGATCTCATCACAGCCACATTCAAAGGGCTCCAGTTCCAGGCAAGGGCTCTGACTCTCTTCCAGCTCGCAGCAGATCTGTCAGGGAGGCACAGGGTTTGTGTGAGCACTCGGGCAGTCTTTGCAGTTTGCAGTTTACGTTTCACAATGTTTCTTAATATGAAATTAACCTGTGTTCATCTGTCTAGGAAGACTCAAATAACTAAGAATAGTACAAGGCAAACATTATACATCATATAAGTGAAACATGGAAAGTCTCACATAATGTACCACCAACCTTTCTCCAATTCTATCAAATAGTCTTTGCATTTAACTCAAAATCCAGCTGCTCGATTATGCTGGCTCCTGAAAGTTATGAGTAAAGAGATTTAAAACCATCTAACTCCTTTTCTCAGTGTCCTATGACACCGTCTTCCAATAGGAGTGAAACTCAAGTCTGCAAAAAAGCAGAGCATGCTGGTCACTGACAAAAACTAGAAGGCAAGTGTTGGAATAAGCAGAGATGTGGCAGGAGAAAGACTTTTGTTTAGGAGCAGGCAGCCAGGTCTACTTGAACCTCTGTCAGCTTCCAAGGCAAAGGAGAAGGTAGGAAGGAGAGAAAAGCTACCAGGGGCCCAGCTTTCCAAACAGAACTCAGGCTCCATCTGTCCCCTCCAGCCCCAGGAAACACAGATGTGGAGCCCAGACCAGACAAAGCTGACCCAGGAGGCATGGTCAGTGACAGACAGCCACTGTGACAGACATGGTGATGCATGGTCAGTGCGAGGCCTGAACTGGCCTGTGGCTCTATGAATTTTAGGAAATATCAGGAGTATTTTGCCACATTGGGCCTCTGAGATATCCCCACAGGATTAGTGGAGGTAATGATAGTAATAATAATAATAACGACAGCCACCACAGAGTAATAATAACAACAGCAATAATAATCATTAGTAGTAATTTATGGAGTGCTTTCATATGCCAGACATGGTTCTAAGGGTTTTATGATCATTATCGCCTTTAATTCTCACAGTGATTCTACAAGGCAGGGACTCTTTTATTATCCATTTTATTGATGAGAAAACAAAGACCCAGGAAGGTTAAATAAGTCATCCGTCAACACGCAGCCAATAAATGATGGAGCCTGAGCTCTGAACTCGGGCAGTGGCCTTCAGAGGCTGTGACTCTTCACCCATTGTGTGACCCTGTCTGCGTTGCTCAGACTTCCCAGGGTGGGGAGGGTGGGAGGGTGAGAGGAAAGAAGAGAGAAGTGGAGTCACTCAAGGGCTTCTAACCCCTTCACCTGCTCACCTAGTTTTGTCTATTTTAAATGAATTGATTTTCAAATTGGTTTGAAAAAGGGAACTGCTGCTAAAAGTGATTTGAAAACCACCATATTGGTTGCTTAGGATGGCCCAAATCCTTTCCCAAGGAAGGCAGTGATCAAAGGTGAAATTCAGCTTTGAAACCAAACACAAAGTAGAGCACTGAAAAGCCACAGACTGGTGATGCCACAGACAAATGCACGCAGGTCAGAGGAGGGTACAAAATGCATCCGTGGCAGGAGCAGGGACTCTTTCATATTTGGATTCGAGAAAGCATAGAGAGAGCCCGAAAGCACCTATAGTCATGTGTCAAGAGAGCCAAGACAGAACTCTCAGAGGACAGAAAGATAGCATGAAGAGAAAGGGTAGAGACTTTGCTGCTGAGCCACCTGAAGGTACACGAGGTGTCTCATCCCTTAGTGAGGACAGATGAGTGAGAAAGCCTTCTATGCCCATGTGGCTCATCGCATAGTGAATCACGTAAGTACTCATACTAGTTATTAAATACACCTGGTTTGGTATATCCAGGGGCCTACTTTGATTAATTTTGTCTAATTCTTTTATTTCCTAGACTTTGGGTTAAAAGACTCAGATATTAATCTAGAAGTTCCAATCGATTGCCTAGTCAAAATTTTAGTGCCTGGGGACAAACTAATTTTGATTAAAGCATCAGATCACCAGTAACCAAACACTGGGCACCAAGTGGGTATTGAGGCAGGGGCTACATTTTTGTTAGGTGTTACCAGGGAGAAAAGAAAACAGCACCCTCAAGAGAACTTGCCTTCACTCGGGTGAGAAAAATCTGATCATGCTCTCTATGGATTCAGGCTAGAAGAGAAATGGATATGGGGCTCTTTTAAAAGGTCCGGTGTGCAAAATACCCCCAACACTTCCTAAAATTCAAAACTCTGGGATTCTATCCCTTGGGCCAATTTCTTATGAGTCACCCATCGGTTCCCATCGTCCACTGTCTGTTCTGGGTGTGGGCAGGTGCCAGTGCAGTGAAACACGTGCAGGTGCAAGGGGTGGCCCACCTGACTGCACAGCTCTAGGTTCTCCGAGTACACGGCGATCTGGCGTCTGGGCTGCTGCTCCTCTGACAGGTAGCTGGAGAACAGGATGAGGACATCAAAACCGAATTTGTCTGTAAATGTTTTCAAATCGCTGGTGATATTGCTGTGAAACACACAGTTCTGAAACAACAGAAAAGTTGATATTAATGTCAAAACGCCCAGTGGGAAGCTGTGCTACAAATTTGTCCACACCTATAATATATTAGGACAGGTATTCATTATTAGGAGCAAGTGAAATAAGCAATTTGCTTTGAGAAAGTTTGGAAACTTTTGTACTATTGCTTAAAATATACTTGGCTTCTTTGTTTCCCCAAATCAAGAAAGGAAGGAGTTTTTGCCATTATTATTAAGAATAGCTTAGACAAGGAACAAATATCTTATTTTTTTCCTAAAATATTTATTCAAACACTTACTTTGCAAAGCATATTTTTTCCCTCTTATTGTAAGACCTATGTAGAAATGTCTACTGACTATTATTACAATTTATCATTAGAAAACCAGGAGGGAGGGTTTTTTTTCCTATAATTTTATTTTCTAATGATTATTATTAACTCCAAGCAGAAATTCCTAAGGATGAACTTAGCTGAGTTTACCAAGTGGTTTTTATTACAATGCAGAAGTCTGAAAGATTTTTGGAAGAGCTGTGATGTCAGATCTGCTTGCTCCGTGTGGCAGCTATGGAGGATGAATAATTGTGGAAAGAGCAGCACTATCTCGGAGCACCCAGACCTGCTGCTCACATCATTTGCAGAAAATGCACTGGCCTCTTCAAGTTTTATTAACTGCAACAATGACCACTTTGTCTGCATGGTTATCTCTCTTCCTTAAAGAAGTACAGGGAAGACCATATGCTAGCCCCAGCACAACTCCCGGCATATCCCAATTGCTCAAGGTATGTTTGCAGAATGATTGGACAGAGACATAAAATCAACCTGTGCTATGTGGTCTCTGTCACAGCATATATACATAGATGAGCATCATATATAATCAATCAACTGACAGTCCATTGTGCCAATCAATGAAAAACACCACAGTGTGCGCTCAAGGGATTTAAAGACTTCTACTGACTTTTTCTGATTATAATAGTAATCAGAATTATGCCTGCTGCTAGTAAGATATTAAAATACAGAAATGTATACCATAGAGAGTGGAAGTGCTGTGCACCCCTTCTCAGGTAACCACTGTGAAGAGCTAAACAGTACACTCATATAGCTGCAGATCTCCTCTATGCCTGGATTCATGCTTGTGTATGGTAGCTCTTTGAAACCTGTAGATTGGGTATTTGTGGTTTAGACTATTTACTAGCCACTTCACATAGCCATCGTACATGTACACTGCAATTCTGCTAAGTGGAATCTTAAGGTCTTGAGGCCCCTGAGAGGGCTCACAAGACCCTCAGCAGGCAGGCCCCACAGGTCACTAGCTTCCACATCTCCAGGAGGCTTTGCTGTCCACTTGGCAGCAGCCACTCTCATTAGGCATCTTATGAGGTCACTTTCCCTTTTTTGGTTACAAGGAATTGCACATGGGAATCCACGAAGGTCCCAGGATATATTGCCAATGGATACCAAGGATCTGTTGTACTGATTTGCTAATAAAGTTTAAGATGTTCAAATACAATAGCTTTTGGAAGCATATGTTCCAAGAAGTGTACTGTCAGTCTTCATGCTTTTTATTTATTTTCCAAATGGCATAATAACAAACCTTAAGAAGGTATTTTTAAAAAATTAATTCACTCACAATGGAAGTAGATATTTAGGATGAGCTTTTTTTAAAAAAAAACCCCAGACCTTATATTATATACAATTTGCATTCAGTAGATAAAATAATTTCCCTCTCTTTTTTTTTTTTTTTTTTGTGACCGGTAAGGGGATCGCAACCCTTGGCTTGGTGTTGCCCGCACCGCACTCAGCCAGTGAGCACACCGGCCATCCCTATATAGGATCTGAACCCATGGTGGAAGTGCCGCCGCGCTCCCAAGCGCTGTACTCTCCCGAGTGCGCCATGGGGCTGGCCCAGATAAAATAATTTCTAACTATCACTGGTGGTCAATCAAGAACCTTAACGCTGAGCTTTCTGCCATTATGAATCATGAAAGAAGAGGTGGTCCTGAAGGAAAATCAGAAAGAACAACTACCTACATCTTATCTCCAGTAACTGAAGACTTGGGCACAATAAGTCCTACACTTTTCCTTTCTAAATATTTTTTCATTATGTATATAAAACCCCCAAAATACATTTATAAACTTTAGAAAGAAGACACACATTTCTAAGAGATTTTCATGTAAAATGACAATTATTGCTGCACTCCTGGCTAGGTCACTGAAACAAGACAGGATGGGTTTTACTCATATCTGAGCACAAGACTAAAAATCAGTAGAATCAGCATTATTCAAAGCCATCCAGGTGGAACATTTGCTATTCAGAAATGTCAACTGAGCCCCAACTGGTTGGGAATCTTCTGTGTTAAACCGATGGCTCTAGCATCCTGGGGACCTCCAGTCAGCAGCTCTGGTGACAGCAGGCATCTTGTTAGAATGCAGCCTCAGGCCATGCCCCAGACCTACTGAAGCAGAATCTGCATTTTCCAGCAATCCCAGGTGATTCGAATGCAGTGAAATATGAAAAGCCCCACTCTAGGGAGACATTTGTTCATTGATGTATTTCTCTATGAACCACTTCCCTCGGCTCCCTCAACACTGTCATGTCACCAACACACACTCTCAGCAATCTGTTCCCCACAATACCCTCATCATAAAAACCATCCTGGGGCGTGTACTTCTGGGCCACTTCATAGAAGTTCTCATTTAGCAGGTCGGGGATCCAGTCCTAGAATCTGTATTTTCATCATGTCCCTCACGTGATTCTCATGACCTAGCTCCTTTGGGTAACACTGTCTCAGTTTTCCTCCGAGTGACTCCAAATTCCACAGTATCGAATGAAGAATTGACAAAACAAATTATTTGAATCACCTAGGCATGTTAGAGAAACAAAGAATTACGTTTTACCTTAACTCCCAAAACAGGCTGTCGACAACTATACCCTATCTACCCTAATAAAATTCTCCAAGCCAGGTTTGATCTTACTGGCTTTAGGACAGTGTCAAGAGTTTCATGTTTAAAAGAGAATCAAAACAAGGGAATGAGTGAGAATCTTCAGGAATCCAGGAGGCAGCGTCTTTTCTGCTTTTATGCCGGTGCTGTTTGCATAGGAGATAATTTATTATTGACTTCTAGCTACGCAGGGAGTCATGTGCTGCGATGTGCTCTTATGTTGCTGATGAGCTAGGCTGGCCCTGAATAAACAGCACTTCATCATCAATACAACCCAACTGTAGATACAGGTCGGCATTTTATCCCTGCATCTGTCTTCTACCTGATAAATTACTGTTTTAGTTACATGTATACAAATACTATTTGTTAATCTGCTCAAATGTCTCCAAAATGTCTTCCCCCACTTAAAGTTAAAATTATATACATACATATATACCTCCCACTCAATTCGAGAAAGGTTTAGAAAATAAAGGAATCTTGGGGCCGGCCCAGTGGCACACTGCTACGGTGCGCTGCTTGGGAAGTGTGACGGCGCTCCCGCTGAGGGTTCGGATCCCACATACAGACTGGTTCCCGCTCACTGGCTGAGCGAGGGGTGGGCACGGCGCCGGGGGTTGCGATCCCGTTGCCGGTCCCGGCCCGGTGTGGGCGCAACACTGGGGGTTGCGGTCCGTTGCCGGACACAAAAAAAGACAAAAAAAAAAAAGAAAATAAAGGAATCTCCTCTTTAAATTACCAGCCCCACCCCAGCCACATACCCCCTCTGTATCCTATGATTGCTGCATGGAATTTAGAAAGTAACTAGTCATTGCAACTGGGAAATGACTGGTAAAATCCCAGACTAATCCCACCAGTTAGGAAGAATGACAGTTGCTCTATGTCAAAGCCCTTTGTCACCCATAGCTCCAAAGATTCAATCACTAAACATTTTTAGAGGTCATGAGTCTTTTTTCCTGAGTAATTCCTAGTTTTGGGATGAGTAGGAAGGTATGAAAATGTG